CAGGTGAATGAGTTCTCAGACAGCTGGAGTCACTGGAAAGGGTGTCCCTGCTGAAAGAGTTCTCATTTCCTTTTGTTCTGTAGAGAATAAAAACAAATTTTGGATTTCCCTTCACTTTCTCTCTTAGCAACAACAGTCACTAATAGACAGACAACAATAAAAACATAACAGGGGGTCTAACAATTCCCTACAGCTGCACATCACTGCTGTGGATTGGCTTCCTGATAGTGACCACAGTGGACCATGTCTGAACAATGAGATTGATTTACTAAAGACATACACTGTACTTTGCAAGTGCATTTGCACTCTGCAAGGACATTTGCCCCAGAGGTTAGTAAATGAGGGGAAGCTCTACTGACTTCCATCATCCAATCATGTGCAAGTAAAAATTCTGTTTTTTTTAATTTTTCTTGCATGTGATTGGGTACTCTTTGCAAAGTGAAATGTTCATTTACTATGTGTTGAAGCAAAAACAACTGCACTTGCAAAGTGCACAGTCTGCCTTTAGTAAATCAACCCCAATCTGTCACAATAGCTGACAGGGTGAAAATGCAGGAGCTTAATTGGGAGATACCCTATAAAAGGAAATGCCTGAGCAAGGTCCTTCAGGGCAGGATCACCAGGTGTTATATGTTGTTTTTTTTATGCAAAAAAAATTATTTTATTGGTAATGGACATAAAGTATCAACATCAATACTGACCAAGCATGCACCTATTTTGTATATATTGGGATTAATTTACTAAAGGCAAGTGCAGTTGCACTCATTTGCCCCAGAGCTTATTAAATGTGGCGAAGCTTCACCTTGTAAAGAATACCCAATCCGATGCACAGAAAATAAATAAAACAACATTTTTTCTTGCATCTGATTGGTTGATGAAAATCAGCAAAGCTTTACCAAGGTCTGAGGAAGATGAGTGCAACTGCACTTGCAAAGTGCACAGTTTATTTGCCTTTAGTAAATCAACCCCATTGAGAAGAAGGAATAGATAAGACAAGGTCTCTGCAATATAGCATACACAGAGGGAATGCATTACAATTGCCAAGTTATCAAATTGCTGAAGACGAATTAAAAGAGTAACTTAATCACAGACTGTTCACAGTGCAAAGATATAATCCAGTGAGAAGCAGGAAAACCTAAACCAAGAATGTCATGTGTCACATCAAAACTTCCATGTGTTCCCACTGAAGTCTATGGGGCCAAACACGCACTGTACTGCATCTTTTCAGAACTTTGCACTGCACCATGTTGTGTTGATGTGAACAGGCACCATAGAGAATAATGTGATTTCCATTGTTGTGTATTGCAGCGTAACAGCAGATGCAGAGGAAATCGCAGTGTAAGAAATCACTCTCGCCAATAAGGAATATGTCTATATGTAATATTCTATGTGGTTTAATATAATATGTAGGGATAGATCATGACTAGGCAAAAGTATACATCTCAAGGTCAGAGGAGCTGTTTGCTTACAGGATGGTCTCTTGTCTCTTAGAGAGCAAAAGGTTTTGATTTGTTCCAAATGATATGCATTGTAATTAGTTTGCCCTTTGTCTTTTGAGGGCTGTTGAATATAGGTGGTGTTCAGTTTCCAGACTCCATCTCACCATAAGTCAAGTGGCTCTGGAATGGTAATTTGGTTGAGAGTTTATGTCAGGAAACAGCATAATGAACTTGTAGATCTTGAAAGCCAGTTTCAGACACCCCAACTCCATTATTATGGGTTAGGCTTAATAGCAAATTAGGACTTGATTTCCATTCATGTGAAGATGTGATTGTGCCATTTGGGCCAATCAGAGATTCCTCAATGATGGCAAATAGAGGGAAGGAGTATAAGAATAGCAGAAGGTGGGCCACTGAAGAGGAGGTGGATTGGAGATTTGATTGGGAAGACTGGGCTGGAGGAATGGACCTGAAGACTGGACAGTGAGTCCTAACAGGTCAGACTTAAGGATGGAGGCCAGCAAGAGACATCAGCCATTGTCTCATCTGGGAGTGGTAATATTTGATATACTTTTTGACTAATTAGCCAGTTTCTGAGTGTTTGAACTTATGGTCTGGGTTTTTATGGTTGTTTGTCTTCTTTTTGTGCATTATTTGCTATTGGGTATCACTGTATATCTTCAGACTTTTAGGCTTCATGCACATGAGCAGCTCCTAAACTCGAGTTTAGGAGCTTTTGGCATTTTTTTGCCAAAGCTCTAAAATCAACTCCATAAAAGCCTATGTGTCCATGTACACAAAGGCTTTTAGCAGCATTTAGGAGCTGCCACATTTAGGTGAGGTTAAACCTCCCTCTCCTGAATGCTGAAGAATCGCATTTAGGATAGGAACGTTTTGACTGCCAACCGTGGGAAAAAGCCAGAGGGTTAAGTGTAGGGTTTAGAAGAGGAATATGAGGGGGGGGGGGAACATGGCGCTGTGAAGCAGTAGAGCACTGGAGTTCCGAGTGCCCATTATGAGCTCCCTGAGGGAAAACCCCTGAGCCTACCTGATTCTGCCCATGCTGCTGCTGTGGCTCTGTCTCTGCTTGTCTCTCCCTGATAATGTGGCGGCGGAGGATCCCGGGCGGTGTGCTCCGGCAGTCTGCCCGTGAGTTATGGAGCTGGTGGGCGGCTCGTGGGGAGCTGGAGGTGGAGTGGAGCTGAGAGTGGAGGCAGCAACCTCTGAACCTGGAAGGACCCAGGGAGTTCCCGCGAGACTGCCGGTATGTCAGTGGCTGAAGTCTCAGATGCCGAGGGAGAGTTGTAAGACACTGAGGACACGGAAGCAGCAAAACTTAAAGGGAGACCCCTAGATCACCTTTGGCACGCGGTGAGACCTCAGGTCCCCTGATCGGTGGGGACCCTCTAGAGAGTACACCCTACTCCGAGATCCCACCCTTGGTTGAAGCAGTAACGTACCCGTGGCACGAAAGGGGAGGGTGAGTTGCCGCTGGTAGCGGTAAAAATCTTTTAAAGAACTTTTGCCTGTGCAGTAAAGACAGTCTGTTGAGACTATTACGTGGAAGTGAAGAATGTATTAGAGGGTCCTAGGGGGTCTTGGTGGTCGTTGGGTCCACCCATATATATAAACAACATGTGTGGGTCTCTAAAAAAAAGAAAAAAGGTGGGCTATGTTGGGGCTAGAACGTTTTAAAACAGATGAAAGCTAAGTGCAAATTTTCTGCACTGAGGAATAGGTCGATTAAAGGGGGGAGCTCAAAAACCCCCCAAGCAAATGCAAACACAAATACAATAAGAAAATACATGCTCCTTCAAGATAAAAGCACAGAGACCAAAGCCTGGGAGAATATGCATGAAGGTCTTAAAAAATTTGAGGGTGACCAATCCAGACTTTCACCTGGGACAGTAGAAGAGAACCAGAATAAAGAATATGCAAACTTGGAAAGTGGAATAGAACAAGGAAATATGGAACAGCAAGGACACACGTCACAATTATTCACAAAAGCTGAAATGGTGGAAATGTTTTCAAAACTAGAGATGTCCATGAAAAAATTAGATCGGACCACTTGGCACTGATCTGGGTCAGATATTAAATCGAATTGAAGATGAAAATGGAGAGATATGCACAACAAATCAATAAATTGGAATCAAAGGAGGAGATGTAGAAAGAACAGAGAAATATATAAATTTATGGTAGAAGATCTGGAGAATAGAAATAGAAGAAATAATTTAAGGATCAGAGGCCTACCAGAAGAGACTGGACAGGAAGAAGATCTTCAGGAGAAAATGGAAAGAATCTGTAATCCAATTATGGGAAAACCAGTGGAAGAAAAATAAAAAATTGAAAGAGTGCATCGGGTCAGAAGGCCAAAGGGAATATCGGCAGAAAATCCCAGAGACGTGATTGTCCAGTTCCATCATCTTGGAGATAGGGAACAAATATGGAAAGGGTTGCGGGACTATACTGAGATAAAATATAAGGAAACAACCCTGCATATTTTTGTGATCAACGTGGGAGGAGGGGGACAGGATGTGGAGAGTGTGGAGTGTGCAGGTAGTTCGGAGGACTTGCATGCTGCCAATCCTGTCCTAAGAATGTCATCTATTCAGGCGAGGGGCTGAGTTTCACCACAAACTAGGAATTGTCAGTGGGGAGTCCCCACGCCAGATTCCAAGGCAAAATATAGGCTGGGAGGGGTGATGGATTGGGTGCAAAAGATTGTGGGGGGGGAGGTAAGGAGAGATAGGTGGGGGGGGTTAGGCTGTGGGTGGGGGGGAATGGAATCTGGGGGTTGTAGTAGGGAGGGGAGAAAGTCCATATCTCAAGCTATTGGTCTCTATCTCCCCATGCCAGTAGGAATGCCAGTAGGGCAATGGGATAACATCTGAAATGAGTGTGATAAAGTTTATGACTTATAACGTGAAAGGGAACAAAAAGAAATAAGATATTGAGGGAAATCCACCAATACTCCATGGATGTGATGTTTCTTCAAGAGACACATATAACTCAGGACACAAATGTTAAACTTTATACTAAGCATTATGAAATGTGGTATTATGCTGATTCCCTGGTTAAAAAATCCAAAGGTGTAGCAATAGGGTTCTCAAAAAGAGTTAATTTTAGCCTAGAGGAAAGAAATGGAGGATCCTGAGGGCTGGTTCCTATTTTTGAGAGGAAAGTTACAAGGAGTGGAATATACATTAGCTAATATTTATGGTTCACATAAAAATCTGGAGCTGTTCTTGGAAGGTGTATTACAGAAGCTTTCTGAATTTAAAAAAGACTTTCTGGTTGTGGCAGGAGACCTAAATCTGTGTCTGGATCCTCAGATGGATGTGTCTGCATGTACGCGGAGAGAGGGAAGTAGGAAGTCAAAATTATTGAAGATATTATTATATACCGTATTTTTCGCTCCATAAGACGCACTTTTTTCCCCAAAAAATATGGGGGAAAATGTCTGTGCATCTTATGGAGCGAATACTGACAGTCCTCCACCTGTCACCGCCACCGTGTTAGGACCAGCGGCTGTCCCCTCCCACTGCAGCCTGCCCCCTCCCACTGCAGCCTGTCCTCTCCCCACTGCAGCCTGTCACCAATGCTCTCCCTGCCTTATCCCTTCTCTCTCCGGATACTGACAGTCCTCCACCTGTCACCGCCACCGTCCCCTCCCACTGCAGCCTGTCACTGACGTTCTCCCTACCTTATCCCATCTCTCAGCGGGCTGTCCCCGCAGCTCTTCATAGTAGGCAGTCCCCCGCCGAACCCAGCTCTGCCAGTCCGCCCTGCTGGTGTGGCCTGTCCTCAGAGCTCCTCCCCGCTCCTGGCATGTCTGTGTACTGCTCTCTGTACTCTGCAGTCCGGTCCGCAGGTGTGGCCTGTCCTTACAGCTCCTCCCCTTTCCTGGCATGTGTTTATAGTGCGCTCCCTGCTCTGCAGTCCGGTCTGTCTGCTGGTGTGGCCTGTCCTCGGAGCTCAGTGCGCCCCCTGCCTTCTGTAAGTTAAAAATGACATGCTGGGAGTTGTAGTCCTTTTCCTTGATGTATGGTGTCAGATCATTTGATGTTCTGGGTGGAGGGGACTTTATATGATGTAGTATGTCCGCAGTCTCTGGTCATCCCCTGTACTGTGTCCGCAGTCTCTTGTCGTCCCCTGTACTGTGTCCGCAGTCTCTGGTCATCCCCTGTACTATGTCCGCAGTCTCTGGTCATCTCCTGTACTGTGTCCGCAGTCTCTGGTCATCTCCTGTACTATGTCCTCAGTCTCTGGTCATCTCATGTACTGTGTCCGCAGTCTCTGGCCATCCCCTGTACTGTCCGCAGTCTCTTGGTCATCCCCTGTACTGTGTCCGCAGTCTCTGGTCATTTCTTGTAGTACGTCCGCAGTCTCTTGGTCATCCCCTGTACTGTGTGTGTCCACAGTCTCTTGGTCATCCCCTATACTGTCCGCAGTCTCTGGTCATCTCCTGTACTGTGCCCGCAGTCTCTGGTCATCTCCTGTACGGTGTCCGCAGTCTCTGGTCATCTCCTGTACTGTGTCCGCAGTCTCTGGTCATCTCCTGTAGTATGTCCGCAGTCTCTGGTCATCTCCTGTACTATGTCTGCAGTCTCTGGTCATCTTCTGTAGTATGTCCGCAGTCTCTGGTCCTCTCCTGTACTGTGTCCGCAGTCTCTGGTCATCTCCTGTACTGTGTCTGCAGTCTCTGGTCATCTCCTGTAGTATGTCCGCAGTCTCTGGTCATCTCCTGTACTATGTCCGCAGTCTCTGGTCATCTCCTATAGTACGTCTGCAGTCTCTGGTCATCTCCTGTAGTATGTCCGCAGTCTCTGGTCATCTCCTGTACTATGTCCGCAGTCTCTGGTCATCTCCTGTACTGTGTCCGCAGTCTCTGGTCATCTCCTGTACTGTGTCCGCAGTCTCTGGTCATCTCCTGTACTGTGTCTGCAGTCTCTGGTCATCCCCTGTACTGTGTCCGCAGTCTCTGGTCATCTCCTGTGCTGTGTTTGCAGTCTCTGGTCATCTCCTGTATTGTGTCTGCAGTCTCTGGTCATCCCCTGTGCTGTGTCCGCAGTCTCTGGTCATCTCATGTACTGTGTCCGCAGTCTCTGGTCATCTCCTGTACTATGTCCGCAGTCTCTGGTCATCTCCTGTACTGTGTCTGCAGTCTCTGGTCATCTCCTGTACTGTGTCCACAGTCTCTGGTCATCTCCTGTAATGTGTCTGCAGTCTATTGGTTCAGAATATTTTTTTTCTTGTTTTCCGCCTCTAAAACCTAGGTGCGTCTTATGGTCAGGTGCGTCTTATGGAGCGAAAAATATGGTAAGTGCCAACTGAGTGATATCTGGATAGTAAAATATCCAGGTGAAATGGATTATACCTTCTCTCCGGTACATTATGATCAAGCATAGACAGCTGGAGTTGTTGGTGAGTTCCAATATACAGGTTATGTTTATCTCTGATCTTGCCCCTGTCACAATGGGTGTACAATCTAAGGTCGCTAACTCACATTCATTCATACACATACAAGGCCCATTTAGACAGGATCCAATTAACCTACCAGCATGTTTTTGGAGCGTGGGAGGAAACCGGAGCACCCGGAGGAAACCCACGCAAGCACAGGGAGAACATGCAAACTCCAGGCAGGAGGCGCCATGGTCGGGAATCGACCATGATGAGATGACCCTTAAAAGAGAAGAATTAAAGGAGTTTATGGAAAAGGAGTCAAGAAGGATATTCAATAGGGTCTTAAAAGAAAGATATCAGTGGGGGAATAGACCTGGAATATATTTGAGGAAGCTTAAGGAAAAGAAGTCTAAGAATTTCATAGAAAGAATTAAAGATGGTAAAGGAGAAATGGTGTACACCACCACTGATATCGCTAATAGGTTCCATAAATACTATATTAGGCTGTACGACGTGAGCCCCAGAGATAAAAAAAGAAACAGAAGAGGAAAAGAAGAATAAGAGGCAGAAATATCTAAATGAAATGGAGTTGCCAAGAATAGAACAAGAAAAATTAGAAGCCCTAGAAAGATCAATTACCCCAGAGGATATTATCCTGTCGTTATAAAATACGGCTGCAGGAAAGAGACCTGACCCAGATGGTTACACGGGTGGATATTTTAAAAATTTAAAGATCTCCTTGTTCCTAAAATGTGTGGTTATATGAACATAATAGGGGAGGGATTAGAAATGAGGGAGGAGTCTTTGCAGGCAAACATAACGAAAGAAGGAAAGAAAGCACACAGTGTTCCAGCTACAGGCCCATATCCTTATTAAACAATGATACCAAATTGTACGCTAAGGTATTGGAAACTAGAATGAAGGAGCTGATGCCAGACTGGATACACCTGGATCAGGTGGGATTCATTCCAGGAAGAGAAGGTAGGGACAATGGTCTAAGATCACTGCTACTCCTACAAAGAGTAAAAAGAGAGAAATAAAAAGCTTTTGACAGGGTTAATTGGGGATTCATGTTTGATACATTGGAGGTCTTAGGAATAGGGCCTAAAATGTTAAGGTGGATAAAAGGGCTTTGTAATAGTCTGTCAGCGGCGATTAAGGTTAATGGATCCCTCTCTCAGCCCTTTAAAATGTATAATGGTACCAGACAAGGATGTCCACTCTCTCCTTTGTACTATCCTTGGAACCGGTTCTGGCAAGGATAAGAAAGTGCATAGATATAGCAGGAATAAAAATAGGGGAAGTGGAACATAACGTAGCAGCATATACAGACGATATGTTGTTTTATATCGTAAACTCTGGAGTAATGTTGCCTAATTTAATGAGATTGTTAAAGCAATATGGCGAGTTGTCAAACCTGGTAAAATAAATCCAACAAAATCAGAGATATTAAACATAAATTTATCAAAATCAGAGGAGCAGAGTATCCAAAAAGAGTTAACATTTATTTGGAGGGGTAAAGAAATAAGCTATTTGGGAGTAAAATTAACTCCTTCATTAAAGGGCCTATATCAGGTGAATTATATCCCATTAATAAACAAAATAAAGTACGAGTTGAAGAGATTGTCAAAAGGTGGAGCTTCTTGGATAGGGCGTATAAATCTGGTAAAGATGGTTGGTTGTTGCAAACATTTTGTATAAGTTCCATATGCTACAAGTACACCTTCCAGGATCATTTTTTGGGATAATTAAGAAGCTGATATATGGTCATGTTTATATGGACAAATGAAAAGCCGATAATTAGTTAGGAGGTACTGTGTAGGGCAAAAGGGAATGGGGGACTGTCCAATATGAAGAAATATTATCTAGCGGTGTTACTGTCACATTTAATAGATTGGACATTCAATGCACAAGGGAAAGGTTGGGTGAATATGGAAGGGGTTTTGAGTAGGGCACAATTAGGGAAGATGGTGTGGATACCACATAATTTTCGCACATTAGATGTGAATACTAGTTCATTAACAAAGATAGTTTTAAATGTTTGGGATAGGTTGTATAAGCAAAAAGGATGGAAATATAATTCACTTATGACTCCCCTGGAGGGAGTGGAATATTTAACCCCAGGGAAGGATAACATTTCTGGGAACTGGTATAAAGATAAAAATGCACGTTTGAAGGATATATTGAACATAGGGAAATAGCACACCTTTTTTAGATTTAAAGAAGCAAGAGGACTTATTTTTCACATTAGATGAGTGGAGGTATTGTCAATTGAGTCACTTTGTTTCAACGCTCCCACAACCACTGAGGACAGAGGAGGATCTGTATCCATTTGAAAAACTGGTAAACGTAACTACAGAATTAAATGAACAGCAAAGGAATAAAATATTTAAATTAACTCATGGGGTGACGAACATGAACATGGCTGAGATGAATTTCAAATGTTTTGCGAGATGGTATATTACAACGAATAAGGCACATAAAAAACAAGCAGATGTTTCACCATTCTGTTGGAGAGGTTGTGGGGAAAAGGGAACAATGGGTCACCTATGGCGGGATTGCCCGAATATACAGGACTACTGGATGGGAATAATACTACTTATCCAGGAAATATGTGGGATTATGGTCCAGGGAGATCCATGGATGTGTTTGTTTTTATAAATTTGAGCCTTCAGTAAACTTGTCTAAGAATAGGGTGTTGTATCATTTAATGAGTGCAGCTAAGGGCTTGATCCCCAGATTTTGGCAAGTCCCAGAGCCACCAAGATGAAAAGATTGGATACACAGAGTGGAAAATATCTATAGGATGGAGGAGTTATATCATATTGCGGTGGATAAGTTAGATATATTTAGGAAAACATGGAGTAATTGGTTACTCTTTAAAACATCAAAAAAATATCTGGAATTAGGTGTAGTCTAGGGGGAATATATCAGAGGAAGTTTAACGCAGATCTTGAGAGAAAGAAAGGAGGTAGGATGAAGGAGCATGAGACAGAGAATCATGAGGGAGGATAAAACAGAAGTATGGGGATGTGGACAGGGGTGTGGTGGATGGTGGGGGTAGGGAAGAAGGCTAGGGAAGGGGAAAATGTGTTGTAAAGGGAATTTAGGTACTGGTGTGGTACTTGTGATTTGTATTTTGGTTTTATTTTCTATGCATTAAGATGTGTTTTTTTTTGTACTAGAAAAATTCAGTAAACAAATAATAGAAAAAAAATTAAAAGAGAAGCCAATCCAGGTTTTATTGCTAAAGCTTAACTCAGGGGTCTGCAACCTTTAAGACATAAAGAGCCACTTGGACCCGTTTCCGAGAGGGAAAAAAAGACTGGGAGCCGCAAAACCATTGCAACATTTAAAACAAATCCGACACTGCATATATTGCAAAAAGCGCTCTGGTCATGAAGGGGGTTTAAGGGCCCAGTAAGCAAAGGGTTAATCAGGGCCACAGTGTATCGTCATAATCACAATCATAGCCTTAGGTCAGTGGTGGGCAACCTTTTTTTTCAACTGAGCCAAATCTCGCCAAAACCACGATTGAAATTTATTTTGAGAGAAACATTTTTAAAACTGAAAATACATCCCCCATAAAGTAATTCATCCCCCATAGTAATTCATCCCCCATAGTAATTCATCCCCATATGGTAATTCATCCCCCCTATAGTAATTCATCCCCCCTATAGTAATTCATCCCCCACATAGTAATTCATCCCCCTATAGTAATTCATCCCCCCTATAGTAATTCATCCCCCACATAGTAATTCATCCCCCACATAGTAATTCATCCCCCATATAGTAATTCATCCACCCTATAGTAATTCATCCCCCATATAGTAATTCATCCCCCATAGTAATTCATCCCCCACATAGTAATTCATCCCCCATAGTAATTCATCCCCCATATAGTAATTCATCCCCCATATAGTAATTCATCCCCCATATAGTAATTCATCCCCCACATAGTAATTCATCCCCCATATAGTAATTCATCCCCCCATAGTAATTCATCCCCCATATAGTAATTCATCCCCCATATAGTAATTCATCCTCCATAGTAATTCATCCCCC